GACCCCTCTTCCAGCGAATCATCGATACAACTTTTCTCGGAGAGCAAAGTGGCGACATCGGCGGGCTCCATGCAGGGAGAGGAGAACAGACTCGCGAAATGTTGTTTATTGCCGTCGGCATTGTCAAACTTGTTGTTGCATGCATCATAACCTCGTTTTGCAACAAAAAATGCTCCTTCTCGCTAGGGATGAGAGAACATTGTTGTCGTAGTGTGCCCCGGCTCTTTACCAGTATCCAGAAATTCTCGTTTGAGCTTGGTGTGGGCCTCGTCTGTGTAAGCAGGCGCGTTGGTCTTCGCGCAAAAAACCTGCCCGACCTCATGGACGACCTTAATCCATAAAGTCTAATCCCACCAGCCCTTTGGGCGTGAGTGGTTTAGCGAGCTCTCTCTGTTCTCAACCCCCCTTCTTCCCCTTCGGGGAGGGGTTTACCCCTCCCCCTACCCCCTCCCCCTGGACCTGGAGAGGGGGTTTCGCGGGTCGTTGGAGGGGTCTTTTTCGACTCCTGGGAGGGCTAAAATTTGACACCCCTCACGAGGATGGTGGCCCCGACGGGGGGGGAGGAGAAAAGTGCTCCCCTCTTCTTTGAAGCCAAAATCATTGATTTTACTACGGTTGTGGCCCCATTTTGGCCTTCTGGGGGGGGAGCGCTAATTAAAGCTCCCCTCTTCTGTCAAGCCAAAATCATTGATTTTACGAAGGTTTTGGCCCCATTTACCCTTCTGAGGGGGCAGCGCTAATTAAAGCTCCCCTCTTCTTTGCTGGATTCCCTCCAAGATGGCCCCAAGAAGCGCCCAGGAGGCACCAAGAGGCCCCAAGATGGCCCCAAGAGGCCCCCAGGAGGCCCCCAAGAGGCCTCCAAGAGGCCCCCAAGATGCCCCCAAGAGGCCCCCAAGAAGCCCCAAGAGGCTCCCCCGAGGCACCCAAGACGCTCCTGGAAGCCCCTGGGGCCGCCAAGAGGCCCCCAAGACGCCCCAAACGGCCTCCAAGAGGCTCCCAAGAGGCCCGAAGAGGCTCCCCCAAGGCACCCAAGACGCTCCTAGAAGCCCCTGGGGCCGCCAAGAGGCCCCCAAGACGCCCCAAAAGGGGACGAGGTGCCCGAACGCCTCACGCCACGAGGAGCCCGAACGACTCACACCAGGACGAGGGGCCCGAACGACTCACACCACGAAGAGCCCGAACGACTCACACCAGAAGGAGGGGCCCGAACGACTCACACCAGGACGAGGCGCCCGAACGACTCACACCACGAGGAGCCCGAACGACTCACACCACGACGCGGGCCCCGAACGACTCACACCACGAGGAGCCCGAACGAGTCACACCAGGAGGAGGGGCCCGAACGACTCACACCAGGATGAGGGGCCCGAACAACTCACACCACGAGAAGCCCGAACGACTCACACCAGGACGAAGAGCCCGAACGACTCACACCACGAAGAGCCCGAACGACTCACACCAGGAAGAAGGGCCCGAACGACTCACACCAGGACGAGAAACCCCAAACGACTCAAACCACGAGGAGCGCGTTCTCTCCCTCCTCCTCCGCCTCGTCCTTCTCCCGCTCCCACCACAAGGAGGATGTACAAGGAGGCGGGAGGAAGGAGGAACAGGGGAGATATGCGGGGCAGGCGGAAGCACGCCTGAAAAACACGACTGTCGGCATGCTTCGCAAGAGTTGCTGTTTTGAGATGGGCTGGTGGGGATACGCGAAGCGTAAAGAATTTCGATCTATCGTAGGGCCCCTGCGACATTCCTCAAACTGCGCAGCAAGCGCGTCGAATTTATTTGAGACGAGGTCCAAAGACTCGTAACGTTTTTCCCCCGACTGCAAACAATACCCCAGCTTGTTGTAGTCCCAGCTCGGTGAGACCTGTGTCGCAAGCGCGTGCCACAATAAAAATTTGAAAACCATTATAATCGGCACGTGGTAACGCGTAAGCTGGTGTGGTATCAGTTGAGGTCGGCAGCTGGCCTTCCACGCAACATGGCACTTGCGCACCATGGCAATCAGAGCGGACGGGAGGGAAATGTGATTGACGCTGGAACTGCCACCCTGAGCGTTGTAGCGTATTGGCCCGGCAGACGCAAAAAAATACCAACCGCACACATAGAGTGGTCAACCATATATTGTCCAAGTTTGGTGCCTGCCAGTCCCTTGCGCCCCAGGTTGAAATCTGAAAGCTGTTCTGTGGCCACCACATCGTCGTCGTCCCTCTTCACACCTGGCCCCGTGCTGAAATCTCCACAAACAAAAAGGGGCACACCGTGCGGCGGCTCGCGATGCTTGACTATATATATATATATATCCAATCGCATGTCATTTCTGCTGCTCGTACCTGGGCTTTCCGTTCATCTCCATACTCCGTGATCGGCGGGGGATACGCAACCAATAGGAGCAAATCGAAGCGGCCACGTTTTAGGTGCAGACCGCCCGCACGGCCTTGCATTGAGGCTCCTGGGGACTTGATTTCCACAATGTACGTTCGACGGAACTGTGTATTTCAGATAATGCCTACACCTGCACTGTTATTACTGAATGGTGGTCGCTGCCACCCCCACATTACAACCACTGCACCTGTTAAGTTGACGATCTGGTACCTGGAGTCCGACCTTGCCCTCCAACGCGTGGCACTTTACAGAAATCAGATCGGTGTTGAGTTCGTCCACAATTTGTTGTAGCCTGCCTGGCCGAAGAGCGCTGCATGGGTTACACTGCGTGACACTGAGCGGCCAAGTAGCGGGGACATCCGCCCCGCCATTCCTGCAAGGGCACTGTGTCGCACAAGCACTGTGTCGCACAAAGATTCAGCGTATCAATATCGAGATTGCCATGTCATGGGTACGGTAAGGGAAAGGACTGGTCGGCACCTGCACAGGGTGTCGCTTCGGTGGAATGGCTCCTTGTACTTGTTTTGTGATGCGAATGGCGCGGAAAATACTCACGTGAATTACGCTTTCGGCGAGTCCGTCTCCCAGTCGCTCATCTCACGTGCTTTAACCGCTCCAGAAGGGTGCCACGATTTCAGGTGGGCTTGTTGGGACACGTCAATCGGTGTCTCGAGGAGAGTTGCGTGCTCTTCTTCTTGCCGCCGAGTACTCCGACGGCCACGAAATACGTATCACAGGTAGTCAGGGTGTGGCGATGGGTGGACCAGCAAACGCTACCAAGAGCCACAAGGCATCGATTCCGACTTGTGGTACCAAGTTGGTTTTCAGTTTGAGTTCATGATCCAGCAATATTTGTGATGTTATTCATCAACTCACATGTGGAAACCTACAGCTTAGCTGATCGGGAGTACCCTCTCTGGGCGGTACTGGGCGACACAGTCTTTGATGGTCTCGAGGTTGAGGAGTTCTCTCGTCGAGTTGGCGTTTGGCAAGCAGTCTCTGGCCCTCCTGAGGGATGCGTGCAAGTGCGACACAGCCGCAGCGCCGACCCCCCCCGCTTTGTGAACCCATGCAAACGCTTCTCTGTTGGGGTCTCCCTGATAGCGGGGCATCCGTGCACCAGGAGTAACGACCGGGTAACTGGACATCCAAGGCATGCCCCCAGGGTTGGCAACGGTCCATGAGGCCAGCATCCATGTCACACCTCGGGGTCAGCGAAGTGCTTTTGAGGTCAGCTTGACACACAGACCCCCAACGGCCTCATCCTTATCCTCCTCCTCCTCCTCCTCCTCCTCCTCCTCCTCCTCCTCCTCCTCCTCCTCCTCCTCCTCCTCCTCCATCTCCTCGCCTCCGCCCCTCCTCCGCAGGAGAAGGACTCCCCCGAAGGGGCTCGCCCCCCACCGGCCCCACAGGGAGGCGCCAGTCGCCTCGCCCGCGGGCCCCAGGTCCGAGGAGGATCTGGACAGGGGAACGAAAAAGAAGGGGCCCTGGGACACACAAATAAATACACACAAATGACAGGATTCCCCGTATTTTCCTATATTTTCGGGGTTCTTGTCTCCCCCCCACTTCCCATATTTTCCCACATTTTCTGGAGAGTCGACGATGAATTGTGTCTGTGTGTTTTTTTCCCCTTGAAAAAAGCAGGCCCGCGCGAACTCCTCGGATCGGCGCTGGACCCCCCGCCCTGGCGCGCGGAGCGCGCCAGGGGGCGGCGCCGGAGGCGCCGCCAGGGAGGCCCCCGCGCGGATCCGAGAAATCTGCGCGGACCTCCGAGTCTTTTATGTTAATGCCGTTGGTCGTCATCATCATCATCATCATCATCATCATCATCATCATCATCATCATCATCATCATCATCATCATCATCATCATCATCATCATCATCATCATCATCATCATCATCATCATCATCATCATCATCATCATCATCATCATCAGCATCATCATCATCATCATCATCATCATCATCATCATCATCATCATCAATCATCAGCATCATCAGCATCATCATCATCATCATCATCATCAGCATCAGCATCATCATCATCATCATCATCATCATCATCAGCATCATCATAATCATCATCATATCATCATCATCATCATCATCATCAGCATCATTATCATCAGCATCATCATCATCAGCATCATCATCATCATCAGCATCATCACCATCATCATCATCATCATCATCATCATCATCATCATCATCCGAATCATCATCATCATCATCAGCATCATCATCATCATAATCATCATCATCAGCATCATCACCATCATCAGCATCTTCATCTTCATCATCTTCTTCTTCATCTTCAGCATCAGTATCAGCATCAGCATCAGCATCTTCTTCATCTTCATCATCACCAGCACCATCATCAGCATCATCATCATCATCCTCATCCTCATCATCCTCAGTATCGGCATCATCATCAGCAGCAGCAGTATCAGCATCATCATCATCAACGTCAGCAGCAGCATCATCAGCAGCAGCATCAGGTAGCATCAGGTAGCATCATCGTTTGCATCAGCATCATCAGCCTCATCATCAGAATCAGCATCAGCATCAGTGTCAGCAGCATCACCACCATGGCGACGCCCGTCGCCTCGCCCTCGGGCCCCAGGTCCGAGGAGGACCTGGAGGGCGTGTCGCCCTGGAGGAGGGCCTCGGCCTCGGGCCCGTCGCCACCGCCGTCGGACAGCGAGTCGGCGCCGTGGCCTGCCCTCCCCGCCAACCAACAGGGGGGGGGAGGGAGGAGGGAAGAGAAGGAGGAGAAGGAGGGGGGAGGAGGAGGAGGAGGAGGACGACGAGGACGAGGAGGGAGGAGGACGAGGACGAGGAGGGAGGGGGACGAGGAGAGAGGAGGAGGAATGGAGGAGGAGGAGGAGGAGGAGGAGGAGGAGAGGAGGAGGAGGAGAGGAGGGGAGAGGGGGGAGGAGGGGGGAGGGAGAGGAGGATGAGGAGGAGGAGGAGGAGAGGAGGGGAGGAGGAGGAGGGGAGGAGGAGAGGAGGAGGAGGAGGAGGGAGGAGGAGGAGGAGAGGAGGAGGAGGACGAGGAGGAGGGGGAGGGAGGAAGGGAGGAGGAGGAGGAGGGAAGCAGGAATGGGAGGAGCAGGAGGAGGAGAAGAGGAGGGTGGGGGGCAGGGAAATGGCAGGGGCAATTGGGGGGGAGAGATGGAAGGTGGAGGGAGGGGGGGGGAGGAAGGGAGGATTTGGTTGACCCCAAGGAGGGTCCAGCTGAGAGGGAGTGGTGCTATAGGGCAAGGATATTGTAAATGTCCTGCGCCGGAGGATTGTATTGCACTGTATTGCAACGAATGCATTGCACGCAGAAATCCAGCAATACATCTGCGCACCGGAATGTATTGCACGCCCAAAACCAAATCTTTTGCAACAAATCTGGAGCACCACCCTCTTTTCGCTGGATCCCCTCGTAGGTCAACCAGAGAGGGGAGGGAGGAGGGCGGGTAGAGGGAGGGGAAGGGAAGTGAAGAGAAGAGGGAGGTCGCATTTTGTCGCATGTGACGGCGACTGGAGAAACTTTAGCAATCGGGTTGGAAACCTCGTAGAGAGAGATCGGCCCACCGGTCAGATGGTTGACACGAGAGTTCAACAACACGGCACACTGTTGAATCAACGTCACCATAGACAGCCAACAGAATCTGGATTTGAACCTGATGATGTCCGACGCCGGATAGGCAGCCACGGAAGCCTGCAGGTCTGCATCGGCGGGGTATCCGGGACACTTGCGGCTGGGATGCATGGCAGTGTACGGGGTGGATGACAACGCCTCCACTCTGGCGACGTACTGGACTTTGGGGCAGCAATTCGCAGAAGGTCGTTTGCGTCACATCGACGTTCCAAATGGAGACAGCAGCTCTGGATTAGATACCCGAATATTCAAAGTCGCCCAATCACTGCCACATAAACTTAACCTTGCTTGGAATACGGGAAACTCTGCTTTCGCCACGCCGTTACCTTACAAGCGATTACGCTCGCGCTGCTTGCACCTTCTCCTGCCCCCTCTGCCGCCTCGTGATGTGCTTGGCTTTGCGTTGCGGGTATGCAACAGCAGTCTCAAATTTTCCCGACGATTGGCCCCCAGCCTCGCTTTGAGCCAACCAGTCCCGCATCGTGCATTCTCAGTTCAAGCGCACGCGCACGACAGCGCCAGCAGACGTACGAAAATAAGAAAGATAAGAGGCCAGGGGGGGGGGACAGAGTGAAGAGGGAGGCGGGAAGAGAGGAGAGAGAGCGAGGCAAGGGAAGGGAATGGGATGACGCAGGGACTGGAGGAGGGCATGCAGGAGGAGGCAGGGCAGGGAAGAGGGACGCGCACTACACGCAGAGAGGAAGAAGAGGGAGGCCCACGTCTCACTGCGCCGACCCTGCAAACGTGCTGCAGCGGATGTTGCGTGGAGCTCTGCCAACACAACGACCCGAAACGGCGAGCAAAGAACGAAGTGAATCTCACGCGGATATTTTCTTGTCTTCATTTCTGACAGAACAAAACAAAACAAAAACAACAACAAAAAAACGAAACTCATTCCGACATCCGGAACGCGATGCCCCAGGACCACCCAGGCCCACCCCCTTGTCTTTCGAGCGAAGTCCGCTCTGCGAGCGATGCTGGCACCGTGACGGGTCAGCGAGAAAGAGGAGGGGATGAGCGAAGACGGGGGGTGGGTACGTCTTAGATGCTCATTCTGGGGACCTTCCTGGAGCCACTCGCTCCACTCGTGCGTCGAAGCTGCGTCGAACCTGAGTCGAACCTGAGTCGAACCTGAGTCGAACCTGAGTCGAATATGAGTCGAACCTGAGTCGAACCCGAGTCGACCTTGAGTCGAACCTGAGTCGAACAGCTCCATTAGGTGGCCCCCAGGAAGGTCCCCAAAACGAGCATCGAATACGCCCGTCCGACGAGTGGCCCCCGGAGGTGCCCGCCTCGGTTCCCTCCCCCGGCAGGCGCCCGCCGACGGGGCGCCCCCACCCCCCCCAACACAAAAAAAGGATCCGCCTTGGGGTCGGGGCCTTCCCCTCGGGCTCGGGCCGCAGCACGAGCCTCCAGATGTGTGGATGCCATGACCACGGATACTGCGGGATGACGATGAATAAAAAGATAGGGGAGAACGATTAAAAAAATAGTTGTCTGCTATTTCTGCACCATTCTCTGACTGGAAGAGAACGATTCAAAAAAATAGTTTTCCAGCCCGCGGCCGGTTTTTTCTAATCGTCATCCCGGGCGCCGCTGCGTGAACACGACCCCCGGTCATTTATTAATCGTCATCCTCCATTACCCCAACAATCCGACCATTGACTTAAAGATATGGTTTAAAATGTTTGGAACACGCTTTAACATGTTTGAACCATGGCTTATACATGCTAAGGCATGGATTCAACATTGGTTGATGCATCTGGAAACTATTGGGCAGCATGATTCTTCTCCGTTGACCGTCATCCACAAATCTAGCCCACGCTGGCCGAGAGACTCCGCCTCCGAGCGGTCTCCAGGACCGAACGCAGGCAACGCGGTCGCAAGCTCCAATCTGGAGGGGGGGGGAGTTCCGGACCCCCCCCCCTCCCCCCCTTTGGCCGCACCCCCCCCCTTTCGCCACGCCGCCCCCTGATTCCGGAACCCGACCCCGCCACCCCTGCCCTTAGTCCTCACCCTAACCCAAGCCCCTAACCCTAACCCCAACCACCAACTCCAGCCCCAAAGAGTACTCACTACTCATTACTCACTACCCACTACTGACTACTCGCAACTCGCTACTCACTTCTCAATACCCCTACGCACTACTCAGGACTCACTACTAACTATCCACTACTCACTACTCACCACCCACTACTCGCTGCTCACTACGCACTACTCACTCCTCCCTCCTCCGTACTCACTACTCACCTCACTCCTCACTACCCACTACTCAATACTCAGTACTCACTAAGCACTACTCACTACTCCCTCACTAATCACTCCTCATTACCCACTAACTACTCAGTACTCACTACTCACTACTCATTGTCCACAAATCACTACTCACTACCCACTACCCGCTAGTCGCTACTCCCTACTCCCTCCACAATACTGACACCACAGTACTCGGTATTCATTACTCGCTACTCCCATACTCGCTACTCAATACTGACTACTCACTTCCCGCTACTCACTACTCACTACTCACTACTCCCTACTCACTAGTCACCACGTAGTCTCTAGTCACTGGTCACTAGTCACTAATCACTAATCACTACCCACTACTCACTACTCACCAATCGCTACTCACTACCCACTACTCGCTACCCACTTCTTACTACTCAATGCTCGATACTCCCTACTCCCTACTACCTACTCCTTAATCACTACCCACTACTCACTACTCGCTACTCCCTACTCGTTACTCACTACTCACTGCCCACTACTCACTACTGACTACTCCCGACTCACTACTCACTACTCACTACGCCCTCCTCGCTCCTCACTACTCACTACTCGCTACTCCCTACTCGCTACTCACGACTCACTAACCCTCTGCCCACTACCCACTACTCTCTACTCATCACTACTCACTATTCACTACTCCCTACGCACTACTCACTACTCACTACTCACTAGTCACTACTCACTACTCACTACTCACTACTCACTCATCACTACTCACTACTCACTACTCCCTACTCACTACTCACTACTCACTACCTGTTACTCACTACTCACTACGCACTACCCAATACTCGCTACTCACTAGTCACTACTCGCCACCCACTACTCACTACCCACTACTCACTACCCACTACTCACTACTCCCTACTCCCTACTGAGGTCCTCACTGCTCGCTACTCGCTACTCACTACTCACTACTCACCACTCACTACGCCCTACTCGCTCCTCACTACTCACTGCTCGCTACTCGCTACTCACTACTCACTACCCACTGCCCACTATCCACTACTCTCGAATCATCACTCCTCACTGCTCACTACTCACTACATAGTCACTACTCAGTTCTCATTACGCACTACTCACTACTCACTCCTCGCTACTCTCTAGTCACTACTCACTACTCACTACTCACTACTCGCTACTCACTACTCACTACTCACTACTCACTACTCACTACGCACTACGCACTACCCACTACTCAATACTCACTAATCACTACTCGCCACCCACTACTCACTACCAACTACTCACTACCCACTACTCACTACTCCCTACTCCCTACTCAGTACTCACTACTCGCTACTCGCTACTCACTACTCACTACTCACTACTCGATATTCACTACACGCTTATCAGTACACACTACTCTCTATTCACTACTCACTACTCCCCACTCACTACTCCCTATTCCCTACTCGCCACTCACTACCCGCAACTCACTACCCACTACTCACTACGCCCTAACTCACTACTCACTACTCACTACTCCCTACTCCCAACCCCGTACTCCCTACACACCTTCTCCGGCGCAGAAAGGAGAAGCGAGAGAGGCCCCCCCTCCCGGCTCCCTTTCCGGCGCAGAGGGCAGAGGGGGGGGAGGCGGGGGGGGGTCCGAACCCCCCCCCCCCTTCCAGCCCCAAAGGGGGAGGGGGGGGAGGTCTGGCCCTCCCCCCATTCCCTTCACGGGGGAGGGGGGGGGGGTTCGGACCCCCTCCTCCCCCTGAAGGGGGGGAGGGGGGGGGTGGGTCGAAAATCTCACCCCCCCATGGAAGGGGGG